TGTAAATATATGTTTAACTTAAGCCTAAGGCTTTTTCGAGCAAATAAACCATATTTGCATAAAGCCAACATCTACACAAAAAATCTACAATAAGCCATATATATATTCTTGAACATGTATTTATAGATATTTATTTATCTTTAACACATATAAATGTTATGCATATCACAAATATTTGTACTCTTTTATATATGATAACATTGTACATTTCGTCCTATTGTCATATCGATAATTATCGATTTTAATGCTTGGTTTTTAATAGGCTCCTAGCTTTGTAGATTCTTATATAAGATACACAGTGTATATATATATTTCACTTCTTGCGTGCTTCCCGGATTCTCCTCGGATTCTTTAATAATATCAAAATGATCGATTTTGGCACATACAATTTTGGAATGCTTGTAAGTTCTTGTATATTATACGGGGAAGGTAAAATATCGAAAAGCTTTTAAGTTTACGTACAACATATAAGCATTTAAAATGTTTCCCTTCTTTTTAATATCTTTCCTTTCTCATTTTATTTTCATAATATCGGTAATTATTGATTCGACATGGATGTGTAGCACACGCAAAACATGGAGTGTAGACTCACATATATTATAAACAGATTAAATACATTTCACTATATGGATACTTTCCCTAATTTCGCCAATCTACCAAAATTTTAAAATAAGCCCTCTCGCTTTGGTATACACACACTTTTATATGTTATATATGTATACGCCCCGAAAATGTTGTGGTATTAGAAGTAGCTTGAATCTTTGAATCTTCAGCTTGATGCTGGCTACAGAGTATGTCCGAGTCAGTCGCACCCGACTAGAACACTCTTAGTTACTTGTATTTCGCGTTGTACTCGCTCACTTGCCGCATGCAAATCTAATTTTACAATTACGCCCAAAGAGCATGCGAAATGCTCGAATGAACGAGCCAAATGACAGCCTTCAATGCAAATGAGAGCTGCTGCGAACAGGAGAGGGAAAGGGAAGGGGGAGCGGTTAGAGAATGGGCTTGTGCTGCGTCTATTTGGCGGTTGCCTAAAATTAGGCAAGGCCATTATAAAATTATGAAAATTAGAATTGAAATAAACGCACAAATTGACGTGACGTGATGCGAGCTCTGCGAATTATTTGAAAAATATTACATTAAAATTTACGTGCTGCCATCAGAAATGTCAGACAAAAGTTTGTGAGTGCGTCTGTGGCCTAAAATAAATCCCAAGTGAAAGTTTCTATATAAATGCATTTATCAAATGTATCCAACAGTAGATGACTTTTAAGAATTATAGAAAATCAAGTTGAGAATCTCTTGACCTGACTGTTTGACTGATTAATTATTCGACTGACTGATTGATTGACCGGCTGATTGACCGAATCATTAACTGACTGAAGCTCTATGTATAAAATAGCTTATCCTGACTGATTAACTGACTGACTGAACTTCTATATACAAAAGAGCTTATCCTGAATAATTGACTGATTGAATGAGTGATTGATTGACGAGCTTATAGGCGGACTGAATGCTTATCCTCACAGACTGACTGGCTGGCTGATTGACTGACTGATTGAATTACTGACTGACTAAATCTCTACATATAAAAACTATTATTCTGACTGATTGCCTAGCTAATTGATTGATTCACTTATTGACTGACTACAAAACAATCATGTCCTATGTAGACATTTTTAATGGGTATTAAAATACTTTTATACATTTGAGACACAACAAGATAATGAATACTAAACGCAGTCGGATCTCAAGTATTTAGTCTTGAGCGCAAATTGAAATGATTAAAACTTAGTTGTCAGACAGAAGAGTTAAGATTCTCACAATCTTCCATTTAAGGCCACAAAGAAATGTGTCAATTTGCAGTTATTAACAAGTTTCATGCATAAAGTGAATAAACGTTCATAGTTGAAACGACTTGAAAGGCTATTCAAGACAATCTGTTGACCGAATGTCTCAATTGATCAAAATTGCAATTAAAAATGATTTGATTGTTGTTGGCCAGGCACCTGGGGAGAAGGATGGATACATGGATTTAGCTGGATATGTCCTTGCCCTGCCTTGCCCGGGCTGGCTCTTGTCGACTTGGCTGGATATGCAAATGTTTTTGAAAAGCTTTTGCATAACATTATTCATTAGATACGAGGCATGTGTGTGCGAGTGTGTCTGTGTGTTGAGTGTGTAAATAATGCGATGCTAGGCATAATAAATTGCTTTAAAAGCGGCCAAAGATGACGGCACCGACAGGCAAAAGTTGCTAACAATTTTCAGTCGCAAAGTCGTGCTGCTTATCATACGCTACCCTTTAAAGGGTATAATGTTTCTGTGCAGAAGAAGGCGTCGATCTCGCAAACTACAAAAGCATATGACTACTCCGACAACAAACGGATAAACATTTAACTACTTTTGTTTTATATATCTTCGCATTTTCATAATATCGATAAAAAAAAATAGATTTTAGACTGGGTTTTTATAATTATAGGTTCTAAATAAGTAAAAACAGTTTAAGAATATTTCATTTTTTGAATAACTCCCCAAATTTCCCCCCGAATCTAAAAAATAATCTTTTTTTTTAGAGCTAGCGCCTTGTTCTTTGGGATGTACACACATTTAGCACCATTTTTTAAGCTCTAATAGTTGTATAATGATCGGTCCTTAAACAACGGAGTTACTTGAGAATTTATGTGCCAGAGTGTAGAACGCGCGTCCAGTGTATCTCGCAGTCGCGCAACGTTCGACTAGAGCACCTTTGCTGCCTATTCAGCTGCTGCGAACACACACGCACGCACACACGCACGCAGGTGTAAGACGTTAAGCGAGACGCAGCCAAAAATAAACGTCAAGAGATTTTTTTTTTTTCGGCCCAAGTAAGAAACACATGAGAACTGAAACTTTTGACAAGGACAAAGTGGAGGAGCGTGTGGTGGAGAGGGGGGAGGGGAAGATGTAGTCTTGAGGTGTACACGCGCAGCAAGCGTTAAACAGGACGATGACGACATAAAGGTGAAACGCAATGGAAACAGGCATGAATGTGGACTTGGCTGACGGAGCTGGACATGGTCCAAGCTCGGCCACATAATAATTTACATAATATACGTGAGCGCAATCAGCAGCAGCAGCAGCAACAACAACGAAAAGGACGACAATAACAACAACAAGAACAACAAGGACGAGAACGAACGATAACAACGAGGCAGCGTTTCGCACTTTTGGCCAGAAATTATATTTTCACTCTCACAGGACGCGACGTGGATTTCTTGTGCTTTCGTTTTTTTTTTTTTTTTTGGGCACTCGCTTTACATAACACACACACACACACACACACACAATCACATACACACACTCGCACACTCACACACTCACACGAAAATTTCTAATTCATTTTCATTTTACTTTTATTATGCGCACCCACAACGCCCACACTGACTATCTGTTTTTTTCCTCTTTATTTTTCTGTATTTTCTTTTTTCTTTGCGTTGCCAACCAACAAAAACACGCGCGTTGTCAACCGTCCGCTCTGGTGTTTTAGGGCCAGCCGCTGCTGGCGAAATCCGCGAGGAGACTGCGGCAAATCGTTTTGCGTCGTTACGTTTCGGCACAGGACAAGGCAGGAGCAGCAATATTCGAGCGAAAGCTTTTTTTGAGTGAAAGCTTTTTGGGCAAAAGCTGCGCGGGTTGCCAAAGCAGTTGCTGACAAAATATACTGTTAATATATTGAAAAAAAAATGCTCAAACTCAAGTCTTAGCTCAACTTAAGCTTTAAAATTTAGCGTTTAGCCAAGTGTATGTGTGTGTGAGTGTCTGTGCATAAGTATACGTGCGTGTGTGTTGTGTTTTTTTTCCTGTGTTTATGCATTAAAGAAAAGAGCTTTTATTTCTAATTTGGCAGCAAGCAGCAAGCCAAAACACCGGCAGCATAAAAACTGCAGACTAAATATATATACATAACCATATGCGGTAAATGCTCTTCTTGTTGTCAATATACCCTGCAGTCATGAAAAATGGATGGGTTGAGTGAAGTTTTGCAAATGTGTGTCAGCTGAAGGAAGCCCTTTAATGGGCTCTCTTTCTATTTTGCGTAAAACATGATTATATTTTTTCGTTAATTTGTATATTTCTCCAAAACTTATATCGATTATAATTATTATATTGAATGAAAAAAAATGTGAGCGTCGAACTAGTAAGCGAAAGGTCTATGGTTCAAAAATTTCAATAACATAGTTTTTTACCTAGTTTGTTAATATATACGAGAACGTTTGGTACTGTCTACGGAGTATATACCAGTTTAGTTTAGTTTATTCTTAACTCTCAGCTCTCACTTGTTATGAGCGTCTAACTAGTTCTAAAGCTGTACCCGTATATATGTTAATTTAATTAGGTACTGGGTACAGGGTATATACAAGTCTTGCGTTATCAACTCTCATCTCTTCAAAAACATATGAGTGTCGAACTAGCAAACGGAAGGTCGACGGTTCAAATGCTTCATTAACATATTTGTTCACCTATTTTGTTAATAAATATGGTATGTTGATTTAATTAGATACTATCTACAGGGTATATGGCAGTCGCGCGCTTTCAACTCTCAGCAATTACTTGTTGTTTCTTGCTGTTGTTGTTGCTGTTGCCACCTCCAGGGGTTAAAGCTCAGCGCTGCAATTCAATTGATGTACTCAGCCCAACGCTTAGCTAATGAAAATAGCTTTCGAGAGGCGACTTCATATTGAGGGGCGAACGATGCGTGCGCCGCGTGCAAGGCCATAAAATCGGTGTTAATATCTCTAGACTGACAACAGGCGGTTGTTTCTGTTTCTGTTGTTGTTGTTCTTGTTTTTGTTGTTGTTATGGAGCTAATTAACATTTGGAGCGCATGCGAGAGCAATTATCTAAACTTAGCAGGCCAATAAGTCAAGTCAACTCACCTTTTGGGAAATCAATGTGTGGCCAATAAATTCAGGTGCTGCCGCTTTGCTGCTGCTGCGGCTCAGACATTATCTGGAGCTGAAAGAGAGGGAGAAAGAGAAGGAACGAGTTAGAGCTGAATGAGCAAAAGGTGTTTAGTATGCAGACGGGCTAGGCCTCGAGCTAACTCAACTGAGAAATCGTGTAAGCGACGCGTATGTCAATTAAAAGCCTATAACAAACTACGACAACTGCATAGAGTGCTCTAGACGGCAGTGCTCGACTATCAGATACCCTGTCATTGCAAAAATTATCGCTTTCCTCTATGCACACATCCAGAAGCAGGCCTTAAAATGTGGTGCTTCTGAATGCATTCTTTATGAACTACAGCGCTTATTGTTTGATTAATATCCATTAAGTGAAACTTTCTTAATCTGACTAAACTAACCCTTTGCAATGGGCACAGGGTATAACGACACGGGAATATAGGCATAAGGCAAAGGCGGCAAACAACTTTTGGCTTCCAGTTACACACACAAATCGTTGCACGCAAATGCAAAACAATGCCGGCGACATGCCCCCCGCCTCGGGCGTGTCAAAAGGGGCCGGAAAAAGGGCGTGAAGAGAGGAGAGCGGGCGGGGGCAAATGCGACGAATGAAGCAATTTTGGTCACACAAGTCACGTGCAGCCAAAAGGCAGAAACGACAAAACACGCCGCGCAGCACATGAACTGGCAACGCTTTAGATTTCAGAATCGAGAATTGGGTGTTTGGATATTCGGATTCCATATGCAGGGCACACACAATGGAAACTGAGGCAAACGTTTCAATAGAACTGCATTTACTCGCACCTATTTTGTGGTGCGTTTGCCATGGGAATGGATATTGACTGCGACAAAGTGAACATGGAGACCGGGCAGACCTAAGTACACCGGAATATATATATATATAAGGATGAGAGAATAATATATATATATATACCCAGTAAAACACCAAACAATTGGCAATTGATTTAGCCTCATTAAGTGACCATGGAGGTCAAGTAAAGCAGGACTCAAGCAAACAGGTTGACAGGCTAACAATTGTAAGTATGTATATTTATTTAAGTATTTACTTATTTGTCTGAAAAAGTTTCTATTAATTGGGACATCAGCAGTCATGAGAACAACAGTTTAATCAAGTGACCATGGAAGTTCTAAAAGTATGTCTTACAGAATAATCAGTTAAAGTACCTATAGTTGGGTGCAATAAAGTGACCATGGAGCTGAAGCACAATTTTGATGCATATAAAGAAAATATTTTACAAAAGTATAATATAATATAAGTATGACAACAGTTAACATATATATAGTTGGGTAAAACAAAGTGAACATGGAGATGCTGAGAACAAGTCAATAAAGCGAGCTTCTTATAAAAAGCCTGTAAATTGTAAACATACAGATTTGTTTACAATTTCACAAATCGCATAAATAAGTAAGCATGGAGAAGATCTTTGTATAGACACGGCTATGCCATTCCATACGTACGATAAGTGTCTAATTAAAGTGAGCATGGAGGTTGATATTAGCATAAACGTAGCAAATGATGATTTACAGGATCAATATCGCACAATAGCCAGCCGAGTTATTTGGACAGCGACTAGCATTAAGGCCAATTATGGTCAACAATTGCGCAATTGAGGTTTTTGCTATGAGCTCCAGCTAATTAGGCGGTAGGCCTAAGCCTCATCAAAGTGCAATTACTTTTTGCGCAGATGTGTAAATGTGTGAAAGTATGTGTGTGTGTGTGTGTAAGTGTGTGTGTGTGTGCAATTGAAAACAATTAGCAAAGTGTGCAGGAGATTTAGAGCGGAATGTCATAGCCCTAATTGCACTGGCAACGGGACAAGGCAAACGAGGCGCAAATTTAATGCCGGAGACATGCAAAAATTACATCCTCAATTGCAGTGAACGTTGCAGGGGGGACGGGGCGGAAGGGGGAGGTACACTGGCTGTGACAGCGCATAAAGGCGCCCAAATTCAATAAACAAGCCGCTCGTGCGGGCCAGCATACGTGTATGTGTGTGCGAGTGTGTGTGTGTGTTTGTGTGTGTGTGTATGTGTGTGTGCAACGAAGCGTGCTGTCTCGAGGGCTTCGGACTGACAGAGACAATGTTGTTGTGCGGGCAGCAAAGCAAAACAAAATCAAATGCAAGCAGAGCCCAGTTGCCTGCGCCCAAATGTAGGCAATATAAATTTGGCAAACAGCTTGCACACACACTCACACACATACGAACACATACGGACACAGGCGCGCCTTTGTTGCACAGGCTATAAATTGAATTGAATGCCACACAAACTGGCCACACATGCGTGGCTTGGGCACATCAATAGCTTCAGCTACATTTCGCCAATTACTTGACTGTTTGCCACACTTGGGGGCTGACCACATGAACCAGGTGGCAATTGATTGCCGCTGGCCCCTAATGAAGATGGCTGTCGTTTGCGTTGCCCAGCCAAAAGGTAAGCTCTGCGCACGGCACATCCTTTTAACGGAGTTCATTGAACTGCGCAGAGTTGGCAGCCAGCTTTCAATGCAGCCTAATGCATAATTAAGTGCATGAAGGAGTAGGTGTTTACGTGTGTGTGCACGTGTATGTGTGAGAGTGTGTGAGTGTGTTTTGTGTGCACTTGTGTTTAACTATGCGTAAAATATGCTTCAGCAACCAGTTCGCACCAACAAAATACCCGGTCACCCACCTTGTCCACACACACACACACACTTATAGAGAGCGCACACACACACACTTATAGAGAGCGCACACACACACACTCACAGCGATAGCTGGCACACTTAAAGCTGCATTTAAAGCCTTTGCAAAATGCCAAAGTCACGTTCCGTACAAGAAAAACGCCAAGCAAAACCGCAAACGTTTTCGCATTTGACATTTTCCGAGGGAAATAACAACAAGAGAAAACGTCATGTCGCAAATGAAATACTCTTATAAATGCTCTAAGCTAAAAAATTGAGAATCTCAATTGCTGCATATGGTGAAGGAAGGCAGAGAAACAAACTAGTTTACTTTAGATTCTTCCAATAGATATAGATGGTCGAACCGATGAAGATTTTTTGTCAGGAGCATTAAAGATATCTTATTATACAAAACTTATTTCGATCGTTAAAACCTGTGACAGCGTTAAGATTTAATGCTCCGATATTGATAGAATTCTGCTTCTATAAAGCACGTAATACGTAATACGTAATACAGTACGTGTAATATAAGTGCGAATGACGTAATACAGTACTTAATATATAAGTACGTTATACGGAATACAGTACGTAATTTTTACATATAAGTACGCTATACGTAATACAGTACATAATATATCATATATATATATATAAATATAATGATGATTTCGTTTACACTTAGAGTGTGTCGCATACAGAGTAAGATATATACTTAATAGTAAATTTCGCATACCCTCTAGAAGGGCATTCTGAAAAATAAAAAAGAGCATTAGGCTTGCGGCTGTAAACAGTAAATTGTTCGATTTGTGTGCACAAATTGCTGATGACTTCCGTTTGCCACAAGTTGCAAGCCACAAGGTAGAAACACACGATTGATTGTCCGCTAGTTGTGTGTCTTCTTCTTCTTCTTCTTCTTCTTCTTCATCTTCAATCGTGCATCAATCAAGCGGCAACATCATTTTCACATTATGCACAATCACAGCGCAGCTCCCAAAGTGGGTCAAAAGGTGATTTTAGCCGCTAGACACAACTTCTTCAACTTCGTCTTTTTTATTTAATTCTTTTTTTGCACTCTTTGGCAAATTGCCAAGCACATCAAGGGTTTTGTCTCTGTGCACATTTAACCTGAAACCGAAGGCGCATTTTTTTTGTGAAAATGGCCATCGAGAGTTTCCCATCATGCCATTGTGTCGTGCTACCTGCCGCAAATTGCCGCAAAGCCCAACTGCAGCTGCGGCATAATTCATGCAGTTGCTAAACTTGAACTTGATCTTGAAAAGCAGCTCCATATGCCTAGCCATGCATGCCACATATGCATATGCATACATATAGTTATATATACGCCCATTCTCTGTATCTGATTATATCATAATTTCCTACGCATTTCCACTCCACTTAATAGCAAAAAAAAAGGTACACATGTATCTGCAGTCATTCGTTTCGTCCGTGTAACGAGTGCTTTTGTTCTGATACTCTTTGCTAATTGGGCATATTTAAATGCATTGTTTGTTTTGTCAGTCAATTGTTTAATTAGCTCTTTTATATTCTCATATCTATAGTCTAGAGGCTTGCAATTTATTCTATGTCCTCATTTTCTATTTATGCACTTGTATCTATTAACAGATAGATATCTATTTTAAAATAAAAAAACACAAGATGTGTTGGTTGTGGTGTTGATTATCGAAAACACACTCCAATTGCGCAGGCACTAGGAGAACCTACATTCCTAATGTCCAGTCTCTAGCTTTTATAGCTTCTGAGATGAGCTTTATGATGTATGTATGTCTATATATAATATAGCTCTGGCTACCAAGGCCTGAGCCTAATACAATACAAGTACGTTCATATATCCATTCTAGTCTTCGGGATTCGCTTATTTAAAGAACTCAACTACACCTCATTAGAGTACTCCAACTAAAAAATGTACTACTCACAAGCTAGATAGAGTATTTCAGCTGCGGCTGACCAGAAATATATGAGTAGTTTTTTTTTCCATGTGCTTTTTTTCATTACTATCAAACGTTCAACGCCTGTGCGCTGTTGCATGTCACCCTTTGTTGTTGTTGTTGTCTGTATGGCTGCTACTGCCACTCTACTGTTTGTTGTTGTTGTAATGTTATATAGTGTATCTGCATGTATATAAACTAAACAAGCGCACAATTAGAGCGCTCAAAGTCGCGTAACACTCGCAAAATGCCGGCAAAACTTGGCACTCGTCGCCGCCTATTTGTTCTTGTTGTTGTTTCTAGAACTTTTTGCATTTGCAATTAGGTTGTTTTTTGTTTTAATTTTTTTTGTGCCTTGCTTAGAATTTTGTGAATGTGTCGCATGCTGTGCCATTAGCTGGCGAGCTTTCCATTTCAATGAGCGGACAGCATGGCGCATACGTAATGCGCTGGCATTTTGACGTCCCAGCCACGATCTGGCTCAATGTCTATTATTTTTTTTTTTTTTTTTTTTCAATTTAGCTGCCTTTAGTCTTGTTTTTATATACCCTCAATCCATTGAAAATGTTTGCGAAGCGTGTATCAGTTTTGTGCTGATGTATGTAACAAACGGAAGAACGTCCGGCTTATTTGAATAAACTAATCATTGAGCTAAAACTAAACGGTAAGTGAATATCATGTATGTAAGTAACAACCCTTGGTTATAATTTATATTTCTTTAAATTTTTTTAATTATTACATAATATTTAGATTTAAATTTTGCTTGTTAAGCTTAGTTTATTTAAATATCGTTTTGCACTGATTTTTTTTTTTTTTAATTTTATGGGATTATCATGGTTGAATTTTTATGATTCTTTTCTAATCTTTTATAGGGTGGGTCAGGATTTATTATAATTTTGTCGTGAAATGTGTGACGCATAGAAGGAGACATCTCCGACCCCATAAAGTATATATATTCTTGATCATCATCAACAGCCGAGTCGATATAGCCATGTCCATGTGTCCGTCTGCCTGTTTCTGTACGAACTAGTCCCTCAGTTTTAAATCTCGTTCTCTTGCACGCAGCACATATGTCAAAACCAGCTGGATCGGACCACTTTATCATATAGTTGTCATAGGAACGATCGGTCGAAAATGAAGTTGTTTAAGTTAAAACTAAATTTTCACCCAAATCGTCAAAATGGCAATGTCGTTTCAAAACGACATAATTCCGCGTCGTTTTAGGACCTGCGAAGTTATATCCTTTGAAAGCGACATTATGGCGAGGCGTGGACAACGACGGAATTATCTTGAAAACGAGAGATTCAAAACGACATAATCTCGCCAATCAACGGCGGAGGTATGACGTTTGTAAACGACATAGCTCCGCCAAAACTTGATCATGGCGGGATTATGTCGTTTAGAAGCGACATAACTCCGCCGCTCTGAAAACGACATATCTCCGCGCTCTAAAAACGACATATATCCGCGCGAAGATATGTCGTTTCAAAACGACATAACTCCGCCGTTGATCATGGCGAGATTATGTCGTTTTGAAGCGACATAACTCCGCCGCTCTAAAAACGACATATCTCCGCGCTCTAAAAACGACATATCTCCGCCGTTGATCATGGCAAGATTATGTCGTTTTGAAACGACATAACTCCGCCGCTCTAAAAACGACATATATGCGCTTGAAGATATGTCGTTTCAAAACGACATAACTCCGCCGTTGATCATGGCGAGATTATGTCGTTTTGATGCGACATAACTCCGCCTCTC